AGTGTCCTCCTCTGTAGTGATAGAAGCTGCCAGACCCCCATATAACGGTCTTGCCCTTCAAGTAGTATAGAAATTTTTCCCTGACTCCTCGTATCACCACCATAGAACCCTTCGTGACCTTCACGGTAGCATCCTCTAAGGTCACCCGATAACCAGCTGCCTCCAAAATAACAAGAGAAATGATGTTATTCGTCAACTACGGCACGAACCTCACTTCTTTCAACTCCCTCACCACACCGTCATGCATCCTGATCTAGACTGAACCAATACCATCAATAGGGCATACGTTGTCATTCCCCATAAGCACGACATCCCCTCTTTTCAGCTCCTCAAAGCTGGAGAACCAATCCCTCCTAGGGCAAATATGATATATGACTCCTGAATCCAACATCCACTCCGTAGAGTCGGCATAGCAAACCAATGGTAGTAAAGGGCACGAATAGCCCGAAGAATCTGAATCTGAATGTTCACCAACACCTTTTGCAACATTCACTTCTGAAGCTTGTACAGTTTTCCCCTTATTCTTCTCGGCTTTGTCTTTCAACTTTGGGCAATCAATCTTTTAATGTCCTTCTTTACAAAAACGACATTGATTCCTACCAACACTCTTATGGCCACCCCTATTCTTCGATTTTGAGCGGTTGAACTGACGTCGATTTGGATCACGGCCTCGAACTGCTAATGCATCTCCTGATGCATTCTCGGAAGATTCAACATCACTCTTCCTCAGCTCATAATTCACTAACGCCGAAGTCACCTCCTTATAGCTAACAGTAGTTCTTCCATTGATCATAGTGAGAACGAACGTACCAAAATCATCCTCCGGCAACGAACACAAAAGTAGCATCGCCTTGTCTTCATCCTCAACCATGATGTCCACATTGGCCATATCTGAAAGTAGCTTCGTGAAATTGTTGACATGCTCGCTAATGGAAACTCTCCTCTTCATCTTGAACTGATAAAACCTCTTCTTCAAGTGAAGCTGATTCTCAATGCTCTTTGTAAGATACTTCTCATTGAACGTTTTCCACAATCTCTTCGCCAACGTCTCGTTCATTGCATCATAAATAAGATCCGACGTCAAGCATGACCGAATAACTCCAAAAGTCCTACTATTCATCTTCTTCCAAATATTGTCCTCCATATCAGTGGGTTTCTCTTGTAACTCAAGAGTCTCCTCCAAATTTTGTGCATCCAATGCATCCATCACCTGGTACCTCCACAAACTAAAATTGAATTTGCCGTCGAACTTCGGAACATCAATCTTGGTGTTATTGATGCTCAAGACTCTGTATCGCCTTCGTAAGAGACGAACCTGGTGTACTTGCTTCTCCCATGTTGTCGATCTAACTCTTCAAATATGAATCCTTCACCGAATCCTTCGAACAAGCCTCAAGCCAAACCTGAAGCTCTGATACCACTTGTTGTGCACGGTGGAACTCGAATGACAAGAACAAGAGCGAGATAAATCATAACCAATAAGCCAAAAATAATACCACAGAAAGACAAATGAATTTTACGTGGTTCGGCAAGTTGCCTACGTCCACGGGGCAAGAAAGTGAGAGTTCTTACTATTAGAAATCAAGAGAATACAAATAGGGTTACAAATCTCACCAAATAAACCCTAAAACAAAGCCTCTAGATCTCTCACAAATCTCCCACAATCGGATACAACAATCCCCTCTCAAAGACTGCTCAAAACGTCCTTACTTAACCCTAATTAATTAGGATTAACATTATATATCAACTCAGAACAAAATGGGTCAGAAAACCAAACCCAACTGCAGACCCGACTCGCGGTCGACCACCGCGCCAGTCGCGGTTGACCGCCGTGCCAGTCGCGGAAACGACAGAAACTTTCCTGAGTCTCTGGACTTTTTGCGGTCGACCGCTGTGCCACGCGTGGTCGACCGCGACCTGATACAGAACATAACTCAGCCTTGTGCACGTTTGCGGTCGACCGCTGCACCACACACGGTCGACCGCAAAGCACTCAAACCTATTCTTTCGTCATTTCCTGCGGTCTTCGTCGCTGTGCTCGCCATTTCTACAACCAGTGTGTTCCTGCAACCGACAGTGGGCCTTAAATAGTATACAAAGCATCTCCCTCCGCGTATCCAGAAGAAGAGACTCCACTCATCACCGTCGCCGATAGAAGCAATGTGATCAAGTCTCTACGCTCTGGAGTTTTTCCTTAGGAACTATAGAGATCGAGCAATGGCGAAGGCTGTAATGTTGTGAGTAGCTTATGAGTATATTAGTGCTTCTATTGTAGACGAGAGAGATTTTGCTTTTGTGTATGTTGCTTAAGAGTTTTTAGGTGGTTTAAGAGAGAGATGTGGGTTAAAAAATGATCAGGATTCCCTCGAAGGACGGAGCTTGGTTATAAATGTGTAGGTTTTAGTTGAGAGTAATTAATGGGGGTGTTGTACCTCTGTCGTCGTTTTGAACTGAATTCTTGTTGATTTGTAGATGGTTTTAATTTCGCAGGCCATGTATTTGAATAATCTGAGATGAAAATCTACATATAAATATCTGATTACTGCTTTCAGGTTGTTGGAACAAATATTCACGAAGAATTGGTTTATAACGAGTGAAACAAATGAATATTATGTTACTAACGAAAGATCAAGAAGCAACTTCGCATTCTTGGTTCCGTGGTTCCATTGCCTGAATATACCCATTGCGATCTAGAATCCAGGAGATGTAACTATTCTTCATTTCTTTTTCTTTTTTTTATTTATGAAAAGCAAAAAATCAAGGAAAAGGAATGATTGTGGGACGACAGTTGCAAAAATAATAATGTACGTAATTCCATCTAACCCACTTAACTTCTGAACTCCAAACTCTCAAAATTAAGTAGCACTCTGAAATTTGAGTGTACTTTCTATGGGAATAACACAGATGAAGTAAAAATCCTCAATTAGAGAAGAATGAAATACACTTACAATTCTATTGTTCAAAACTTTCCATCATGATACACAAGAGTAAACCTTTTGCCCTTGGATCCGCCACTGCCGAAACTCCCATGCAACAGCCATTCGTTGATTTCGTGTCGCCTTTTCTGTTCATCCCTCCTCCTATTTACCCATGCAACAGCCATTCGTTCTCAACAGCACTGCAATATTTTTGTCACTGAAGTCCGAACCGCATACAAGGGACACAGACGCATTCCATTAAGGGGTTGTTGTGTTGTGTGAAAACTAAGCTGCAGAATTAAATACCACAACCGGATTTATATTTCAATGTATCCTCAGCAACATTGCAGAAAATAAGCACAGCAAACGCATGTGACGTTTGTCGCTATAAAATTTGCTACAATTTATTTTTGCACAAAATCAAACTATCCCTAAAATCAACGGCGCGTGCTGATGCGTGCTACATGCTCTGTTCTCCTCAAAAGTAAACCAACATATTTAGTTACATTTAGTTAGAAGCCTACATTAGTATTTGATCCCAAAAGTACGCAAAGTACATCTACAGACCTTAAACCCTGAAATTAACAAGTAACCCCTATATTTATGGTTTATTAACATAAAACAGATAGTATTATAACAATATAAAAGGAGACCAAAAAGGTGGTACAGTGAGGACATTTTATCTCCGGGTCTTGTGTTAATATTTGCCCCCAAACCTACATCATTCATTACAAACTTCTCTGTATAACTATGGTCTCTTCTTCCTTTATGTCCAACGGAATAATTTCTAAATATTCAGGGGTTGTTACATAGTTATTACACGCAAGCGTTAGATCGTATTCTCAAACTCCATTTCTCAATTTGGGATAATTTCCCAGATTTAAGCCAAAAACCTGTCCGTTTAGGTAATGAACATTGCTTTTCTGAAGTTGCAGCAGAATGAATATGACACTATGAACTGAATTGCAGTAATCCTCCAATCCTCTCCGATCATCCCTCAAAACAATTGTCTGAACAGTTTTATATGGGTACCAAAGCAAAGTGCAACATCTAATATACAATATTTTTCACTTGGTTAAACAATAAATATACACTAACTTGCATTTAGAAAAAGGGTAGACTACGTACAAGAAACCCTGCTCATCTATACCATGTTTTTCAAGAAACCCCCTCAACCTAATATGTTTTTTAAAAAAAAGTTCTCACCTATGACATTAATGAGCCCTGAGTTTTGTATCGGAGTATTGTTCTTCAAACATTCGGGCAGAGGTCCACGCTTGGGCTTCTGTCAGATCTACTTAAAGATTACTGTACATTTGAGTGTGAAGGGGATCAATACAACCTACGTATAGTCAAAGCAAATAAATGACTAGCAATTTTAGTTTGTAATCTGAACATTTAGCAGTCATTGACTAGCTATGATAAGTTGAAGCATTAGCACTTGAAGGTCTTTCAGAGGAGAACAATTTTGTTAAATCACGCACAAATACTTTGAACATAAGTATGATGGGGTCAATTGCGGGTAGATCCATGTGGTATCACTGCTTTGAACTTACCATCCTCTACTTTTATTTTGCCAGGTAGAACTGTCACGCCTCGAAACTGCAGCGGAAATTCATATATATAGGTTACGCGACAACGACTCATGCACAAAACAAGTCTCATGCACGAGTCAAGCCTAACACTTCATATCACATAGTTTATCTTAAAAACATTTATAAACCTACTGATGATAAAAGTTCAGAGCAACTATATATATGTATATTATCGGTACTTACAACCCACAAGCTCACCGTTATAAGCATTTTACTAAATAAAGTACATTGTTGACTATTGAGTTTCCTGAGTTGGATGCACTAGCAATTCCAGATCTCATCACTTCGTTCATCGTTTGATTAAGATCCTTATCTCCGTTAGGAGGGGTTTGCTCATTATCTGAAGCCATATCTCCCTATAAATAATAAAATGGTTGGGTCAACTAGTATACAAGAGATAATTTCTAGGCCCATCACATATATGCAATTCAAGTAATTGTAAATTCAATCATTATCCAATCATTATCCAAACAGTAACACAAATCGGTAATACAAGCCAAAAGTATAATATTGATATTTAACTTTTCAGTACATACACATATGCAAGTACATGGGTTTAAATATATACATGTTTTTCTACCAAAAGTTCTACATACATCGAAAGGGTAACTAAGAAAACACATGCACTGTTCTTACAAAATTGTGCTGCAGGGCTAAATTCTACTCCGTTGAGGAAGAGGAGCTGCTAGAGCTAGACTCCTCCCTCCTCGGTTGGCTCGGTCTCGTCCGAGTCCTAGTTACTATCAAAGTCAGACATTGGTTATGGATCGATACCACTAGTCTTACATCCTTCAAGATCAAGGTCTGCACCAATACCCAGGATATTCGACTCACCCTCAGAGAAGGCAAGTCTTTGGTCATCATTAGAAATCTTGGCTACATAAGACTCTTTACCGGAGGGATTGGATGAAATCATAATGATTTCAGAGGGTGAGGACTCTATGGGAATAACTTCTACCACTGACTCATCCTCATCAAAGGGATTAGTATCGGACTCAGAAGAATCTACTGGTATGATCTCTACTGACTCTATATCAGAGGAATCTGTCATCTCACGATCAACCAAAATCTCCTCTGGATCAGTCTCGTCAGAATCGTACTCCCAAATCTTTTTGGTTGGGTTCCCAAAAGTTGTTTATTGAGGTTGTATAGATAGAATGAGTGTCTGGAACTGGTTGATGAATGTGTCCCGCCATCCTACAAAAGATGGACCATCCATCAGCATACTAAAATAAAAGGACAAAAATAAAATTAATAAAATAAAAAAACAGGTAATAAGAAATATTAGAAAATTCTAAAATGATATAAGGTCAACTAAATTCCATATGTACCCTCCTTAAATATGTAAAAACCTTACTATCAAACATTCATATGCATGCACGTATGTACATATGTATACAAATATATATTACACATGATTGATCCATACGATAACACTCATCTAGCGCATATACATTATGCTAGCATGCCCTACAAGGCTTCTAACGTCGAAACCTAGGCTCTGATGCCATCTTAAACACACAAAAAAATCTCTTTTGCAAATTCTAGTTTTAGCTTCATAATCATAACAAGTTATCATCTTTACTCATCCTATTTTGATTCAAATTACTAGAATTTACTATGCAATTTGAAAATGGTTTATACCTTAATGATTGGGATAGTGCTTTGTTATCTTGGTCTTCTTTTCTCCCTTCACGAGCTTTATCTAGCTCCCAGAGAGTTTGGTTGAGGATGAGAGGAATTTTTTTTTCTTCTTTTTTTTTCGTGGCAGTTTTTTTTCCTCTTATATTCCTCTGTTGAGGAGGTGCCGTCCAAATCGTCGAATGACTTTTAACCATTAAAACACTAATGTGACAGTTAATCAAGAGTTAGGGGTGAATTTCTAAGAAACCCCTTAATTAGTCTTCCTAATCTTTATTTTAAATTTTTTTCCACTATTCCACTTTTAAAACACTAATTACTTAGGCTACTACACACCCCGCCTAATAAAAAATTTTGTCCTTGAAACTTAACATACCTATATCTCGAAAGAGCTCTGGATATCTCTCTCGCATAGAATCTTCCATTTCCCAAGTGGCTTATCTTTCCGAGTGATTCTTCACTTGAACTTTCACATATTTAATTATTCGACGCCTAAGTACTTGTTTCTTATGATCCACAATACGTTCTGGTATTTCCTCATAGGTCAAGCATGGCTTGAGCTCCACTGGAGACAACTCAACGATCGCATTTGGATCTCGGATGAACTTCCGAAGTATCGATATGTGAAATATATTGTGTACTCCAAATAGGGATGACAGGGACACATTCATCAACCGGTTCCTCAGACACTCATTCTAGTTATACAACCTCAATAGACAACTCTTGGGAACCCAGCCAAAAAGATTAGGAGTACGATTCTGACGAGACTGACCCAGAGGAGATTTTGGCTGATCGTGAGATGACAGATTCATCTGATATAGAGTCAGTAGCGATCATACCAGTAGATTCTTCCGAGTCCGAGACTATTCCCTTTGACGAGGATGAGCCAGTGGTAGAAGTTATTCTCATAGAGTCCTCACCCTCTGAAATCATTATGATTTCATCCGATCCCTCCGATATGGAGTCTCATGTAGCCAAGATTTCTAATAATGACCAAGGACTTGCCTCCTCTGAGGGTGAGTCGAATATCTTGGGTATTGGTGCAGACCTCGATCTTGAAGGATGGGGGACTAGTGGTATCAATCCATATCCAATGTCTGACTTTGATAGTAGCCAGGGCTCGGAGGAGACCGAGCCAACCGATGAGTCTAGCTCTAGCAGCTCCTCTTCCTCAACGGAGTAGAATTTAACTCTAGCAACTCCTCTTCCTCAACAGAGTAGAATTTAGCCCTGTAGCACAATTTTGTAAGAACAGTGCATGAGTTTTCTTAGTTACCATACAAGACTTTTGGTAGAAAAACATGCATATATTTAAACTCATGTACTCGCATATGTGTATGTACCGAAAAGTTAAATATCAATACTATACTTTTGGCTTGTAATCGATTTGTGTTACTGTTTGGATAATGATTGAATTTACAATTACTTGAATTGCATATATGTGATGGGCCTAGAAATTATCTCTTGTATAATAGTTGACCCAAATATTTTATTATTTATCGGGAGATATGGCTTCAGGTAATGAGCAAACCCCTCCTAACGAAGATAAGGATCTTAATCAAACGATGAACGAAATGATGAGATCTAGAATTGCTAGTGCATCCACCTCAGGAAACTCAATAGTCAATAATGTACTTTATTTAGTAAAATGCTTATAACTGTGAGCTTGTGAGTTGTAAGTACTGATTATATACATATATATAGTTGCTCTGAAACTTCTAACATCAGCAGGTTTATAAATGTTTTTGAGATAAACTATGTGATATGAAGTGACAGGCTTGACTCGTGCATGAGACTTGTCTTGTGCATGGGTCGCTGTTGTCGCGTAACTTGTATAAATGAATTTTCGCTACAATTTCGGGGTGTGACAAGAACCCTGGATAAATTTTCGACTATTTTACCCTTAGAGAAAAAAGAAAACTGTATTTTGACAAATAGACCCCTGAGTGAATCTTTTGAACTATTTTACCCTCGGAAAAAAGAAGGAAATATTTTATTTTTTGACAAATACCCACCCACCCACACACAAACACACACACACACAAACACACCCACCCAAACAACAACAAAAAAGAAAAGGAAAAAACCCAAACAAAGGATAAAAATTAAAAAATTTTGCCCTCAAGATTCTTCCTGCAAAAAGACTAGCGGTCTAGTAATTCCAAAACACTGATACTAAAGGTGGTCTCTATTGGCACTTAATCCATTATCAGCTCAATAGCAGAAGTATCTGCAACCTAACTATTGAATAACAATAAAATTATTAATTACAATGAATACAAATAAATCGGTAATGATGATGAAGGCAAGAGTATACAAATATAAATATGAGCGGACGAGAACTGTAAATGCCTCTGAGTTAATGAGAAAATTATTGACCTTAACAAGGTCGTGTACTCAAGGAAATGACAAGACTTGAATGAGAGAGAAACTTAAGTCCACTCTTCGAGTCTTAAATAATGACAAGCTTTAAAAACTATCTACTGTATTTATATCCCTTTAATCATTACTTTGCTATCTGACCAGGAATTGTTAAAGATGGGAAGTAGCGTATAAAATTGCAGACGATGAACTACAGCAGTTAAACTTTTTTGTTTGCAAATAGGGTAGTGAACATAGTAACAAAAGCTATAAGCAAGAAACTAAAAGTTTAGCACCAAACAGTTACCATGTTGCTTGAGTTTTGACTTATTAGTTAAAAAACGATAAAAAATTTAACTGAAAAGCACAACACAATTGGACATGTAAATGTATGTAATCTAGCAATGACCTATAAGCTTTAATCCATTGAGGCATACAATTCATATTCACATGAAGTTAGTAGAGTAGATAAAAGATGGATTATTGACATGCTTGCAGGAGAACCTCAAATGGCAGAACTGATTAGATAAAGGCAGAATCTTTATACCCTCAATCAAGGCTTGGCAGGTTCATCATCATCTTCAATATCCCAACTCAAATCCTCATCGTCCTCAGCGACGTTTAGCCTCTTCCGAAGGTCCAATTTTTTAGGAATACCGCTGGATCCATCCACTATCCTGTCCTTATCTTCATGTTCCCCGAGATCGTTAATCTCATCCCAGCCAAGATCATCCTCCTCTTGCATTGCTGTCTGGCTCGAGACCACACAAAAACCACTATCCTTGCCCGGTTCTTTAGGTTCAGATTTTGATTCTGAAGCCATTTTACCTTCTATTTTCAAAGTTGAACCATCGTCACCACTGGATTTAACTTTCTCTGCCTTCAAATTCTCAACTTGAGATGCCTCTGCAGGTTTCCTTTCCTGTACAGCCTCCGAAGTCTCAGCAACTTCCTCCTTCACTGCTCCTTCATTTTTCTCTGAGGTCTCAGTAATTTCCCTCTTTGCTTCATTTATAGGTTTCTCTGAGGTCCCAACACTTACTTCCTTTGCTGTTTCTTCTATCGGCTTCTCTTCCTCGCTTGCTGAGGACCCAATAACTTCTTCCTCCGAAACGTTTTCTCCTTCTTCCTTGATTTCCTCTCCACTTTCATCAGAATCATCAACCTCCCAGCTCAACTCCTCCTCACCTGCAATCACTCTTTTAACCAGTTTCGCCCTCGCATCTTCCGCCTGCTTCAACCTGTAAACCCTATAAAAATACCGAGCCCAAAAACTCTCTCCATTCAAAACCTCAGGCACAAATTTCTCAAAAAACCCCTCCAAAGTCCCATTTTCATACAACAACCCCTCAATATCCTCCTCCTTCTCCTCCAACCTGAACCCAGATCTCCACTTCTCGAAATCCTCACCATCCTCCGGCTCCTCAGTGAACGTATTCACATCATTCTGGATCGCGAGAACCTGAACCTCGAACCTACTGAACCTCTTCGAACTGTTGAAACTCTGCGAGTTCGAGCTCGCCTCCGCCGTGCTCGGATCCTGCGAACCCGAATCGGAATCAACGGACCCGAGAGCTTCTTTACCCTGGGAGACGAAATCGTCGATCGCCTGGCCGACGGATTCGAGCGATTCCTGAGCCACCGAGGCGCCGATCTCGAGAGATCCGGGGAGATCGCGGACGGCGCGAGAGGCGACCTCCTTGAACACGGTCGTCTCGTTCTTGAGCCCAGTGCTGAACTCCCCGAGATCTCGGCGGTAGGCCTCGATCACGGACTCGGATCTCGAAGCTATCGTCTTGATCAGACCGCCGAAGCTCCACGCTCCTCGAGATGGTGAGTTAGGGTTAGGGTTAGGGGTCTCTGGTGCTTCCGCTGCTTCTTGATCTTGATCGAGCTCTTCGTTCTGCGAATCCAACGGCGATTCAGACCGTCTTGGAGGATCCGAGGGTTCTAGATCTTCTGAGAACACGGATTTGAAGAAATTCATGGTTATTGGAGCCAGTTTGAGGGAGAAATGGAACGATCGAAGATCGAAGATCGAAGTGGAGTGGAGCTTGAAGCTCAACAGTGTGTTTGGGAGATAACTTATGTCTTGTTTGGATTGAGGGAAATAAGGGAGAAGAAAAAAGTTAGGGGAATTATTCACTTTGTTTGGAAACATTTAGGAGGTGAAGTTATTCATCCTAATTTCCTTTAGGGCTTGTTTAGATTGAGGGGAATGAGGGTGAAGGGAAGTTAGGGGAACCATTCACCTCCATTCACCTTGTTTGTGAACACTTAGGAGGTGAAGTTAATTCACCTCCATTCACCTTGGTTCACCCCCTAATAGTATAAAAATTATTACCCCAAATTGGGGTGTAACCAAGGGGAAGGGAATTCCCTTCCCTTCCCTTCCTTTCCCTTCCCTTCCCTTCACTCAGTTTCCCTTAACTTCCCTTCATCCCCTACGAATCCAAACAGGCCCTTAGTTCACCCCTTAATAGTATCAAATTTGTTACCTTTCAAATTGAGGTGTAACCAAAGGGAAGGGAACTCACTTCTCTTCCCTTCTATTCTCTCATCTAGTTTCCCTTAACTTCCCTTAACCCCATCGAAATCCAAACACGCTCTTAGGGCTTGTTTGGATTGAGGGGAATGAGAGTGAAGGGAAGTTAGGGGAACCATTCACCTCCATTCATGTTTGGATTGAGGGGAATGAGAGTGAAGGGAAGTTAGGGGAACCATTCACCTCCATTCACCTTGTTTGGGAACACTTAGGAGGTGAAGTTAATTCACCCTAGTTCCCCTTGGTTCACCTCCTAATAGTATAAAAATTGTTACCCCTAAATTGGGGTGTAACTAAGGGGAAGGGAATTCCCTTCCCTTCCCCCTTCACTCAGTTTCCCTTAACTTTCCTTCACCCCTACAAATCCAAACAGGCCTCGGTAGGGAAGGAATCCTTCCCCTCCCCTTCATTACACCCACCCCAATTTCAAGTGTAAAATTTTAGTCCAAATTCTACTAATTCCTTTCCCCTATCCTCTTAAATGAACTTCCAAACAATGTTAAAAATTATATTTTTCTTCTCTTCCCCTCTCTATCCTCCATCTAAACAAGTCATAAGTATAAGCGCTCAATCTTTGGACTCTAAACCAAAAATAGTAATGCACTTAAATACCGTATGGATTCCCATTTGTTACCCTTTGAAGTCCAGTTCGGTTGGGTTATTTTTGCTCGAAAGTTAGGCTACATTACCTTTTACACATTTATCTCGTTCGGTTGAGCAAATAGAAGGCTACGATAGCCTTCTCACCAAAATGAACTGTTTTGAATGGATTTTATTGTAGCTATCAGGTCTAGTTGTCTTATAGCTATAGTAGCTTTCATGTGGTTTACAAAAAAAGAACCAAACAAGCCCTAAATCCCTCAAGTTGTATTCTAGTGCCAAAATAGTAATAATAATAATAATAATAATAATAATAATAATATCATAAAGTTGCCAAAATTTGTATGTTACTACTGTTGATCATGTAAATGTGATAATTTTCACTAGAATATTTCTATGTGATACTTACATATTAATTTTAAAGCTTTCTAATCATTAATATTTATTAAATTTATCATTTGAAATATCCTAACTCTATTTTAAAGTTGAACTGAAAGAAGTTTGAAAAAGAAATTTACTGTAGTTACCAGTTCTAGTTGTTTTCTAGCTGCAACAGCATTCATGTGGTTTACAAAAAAGAACCAAACATGCCCTAAATACCTCAAGTTGTATTCTAGTGCCAAAATAGTAGTAGTAGTAATAATAATAATAATAATAATAATAATAATAATAATAATAGCATAAAGTTGTCAAATTTTGTATGTTACTACCGTGGATCATGTAAATGTGATAATTTTTACTAGAATGTTTCTATGTGATACTTACATACTAATTTTAAAGCTTTCTAATCATTAATATTTATTAAATCTATCATTTGAAATATTCTAACTCTATTTTAAAGTTGAACTAAAAGAAGTTTACTGTAGTTACCAGGTCTAGTTGTTTTCTAGCTGCAGTAGCTTTCATGTGGTTTACAAAAAAGAACCAAACAGGCCCTAAATACCTCAAGTTGTATTCTAGTGCCAAAATAGTAATAATAATAATAATAATAATATCATAAAGTTGCTAAATTTTGTATGTTACTACCGTTGATCATGTAAATGTGACAATTTTTACTAGAATGTTCCTATGTGATAGTTGCATACTAATTTTAAAGCTTTCTAATTATTAATATTTATTAAATTTATCATTTGAAATATCCTAACTCTATTTTAAAGTTGAACTGAAAGAAGTTTGAAAAAGAAATTTACTGTAGCTACCAGGTCTAGTTGTTTTCTAGCTACAAACAGCTTTCATGTGGTTAACAAAGAAGAACCAAACATGCCCTAAATACCTCAAGTTGTATTCTAGTGTCAAAATAATAATAATAATAATAATAATAATAATAATAATAATAATAATAATAATAATAATAATAATAATAATAATAATAATAATAATAATAATAATAATAATAATAATAATAATAATAATAATAATAATAATAATAATAATAATAATAATAATAATAATAATAATAATAATAATAATAATAATAATAATAATAATAATAATAATAATAATAATAATAATAATAATAATAATAATAATAATAATAATAATAATAATAATAATAATAATAATAATAATAATAATAATAATAATAATAATAATAATAATAATAATAATAATAATAATAATAATAATAATAATAATAATAATAATAATAATAATAATAATAATAATAATAATAATAATAATAATAATAATAATAATAATAATAATAATAATAATAATAATAATAATAATAATAATAATAATAATAATAATAATAATAATAATAATAATAATAATAATAATAATAATAATAATAATAATAATAATAATAATAATAATAATAATAATAATAATAATAATAATAATAATAATAATAATAATAATAATAATAATAATAATAATAATAATAATAATAATAATAATAATAATAATAATAATAATAATAATAATAATAATAATAATAATAATAATAATAATAATAATAATAATAATAATAATAATAATAATAATAATAATAATAATAATAATAATAATAATAATAATAATAATAATAATAATAATAATAATAATAATAATAATAATAATAATAATAATAATAATAATAATAATAATAATAATAATAATAATAATAATAATAATAATAATAATAATAATAATAATAATAATAATAATAATAATAATAATAATAATAATAATAATAATAATAATAATAATAATAATAATAATAATAATAATAATAATAATAATAATAATAATAATAATAATAATAATAATAATAATAATAATAATAATAATAATAATAATAATAATAATAATAATAATAATAATAATAATAATAATAATAATAATAATAATAATAATAATAATAATAATAATAATAATAATAATAATAATAATAATAATAATAATAATAATAATAATAATAATAATAATAATAATAATAATAATAATAATAATAATAATAATAATAATAATAATAATAATAATAATAATAATAATAATAATAATAATAATAATAATAATAATAATAATAATAATAATAATAATAATAATAATAATAATAATAATAATAATAATAATAATAATAATAATAATAATAATAATAATAATAATAATAATAATAATAATAATAATAATAATAATAATAATAATAATAATAATAATAATAATAATAATAATAATAATAATAATAATAATAATAATAATAATAATAATAATAATAATAATAATAATAATAATAATAATAATAATAATAATAATAATAATAATAATAATAATAATAATAATAATAATAATAATAATAATAATAATAATAATAATAATAATAATAATAATAATAATAATAATAATAATAATAATAATAATAATAATAATAATAATAATAATAATAATAATAATAATAATAATAATAATAATAATAATAATAATAATAATAATAATAATAATAATAATAATAATAATAATAATAATAATAATAATAATAATAATAATAATAATAATAATAATAATAATAATAATAATAATAATAATAATAATAATAATAATAATAATAATAATAATAATAATAATAATAATAATAATAATAATAATAATAATAATAATAATAATAATAATAATAATAATAATAATAATAATAATAATAATAATAATAATAATAATAATAATAATAATAATAATAATAATAATAATAATAATAATAATAATAATAATAATAATAATAATAATAATAATAATAATAATAATAATAATAATAATAATAATAATAATAATAATAATAATAATAATAATAATAATAATAATAATAATAATAATAATAATAATAATAATAATAATAATAATAATAATAATAATAATAATAATAATAATAATAATAATAATAATAATAATAATAATAATAATAATAATAATAATAATAATAATAATAATAATAATAATAATAATAATAATAATAATAATAATAATAATAATAATAATAATAATAATAATAATAATAATAATAATAATAATAATAATAATAATAATAATAATAATAATAATAATAATAATAATAATAATAATAATAATAATAATAATAATAATAATAATAATAATAATAATAATAATAATAATAATAATAATAATAATAATAATAATAATAATAATAATAATAATAATAATAATAATAATAATAATAATAATAATAATAATAATAATAATAATAATAATAATAATAATAATAATAATAATAATAATAATAATAATAATAATAATAATAATAATAATAATAATAATAATAATAATAATAATAATAATAATAATAATAATAATAATAATAATAATAATAATAATAATAATAATAATAATAATAATAATAATAATAATAATAATAATAATAATAATAATAATAATAATAATAATAATAATAATAATAATAATAATAATAATAATAATAATAATAATAATAATAATAATAATAATAATAATAATAATAATAATAATA